CTCCTCTTCCGAGGAGGAGGAGGAGGTGGGTGCACAGCCCTGTGCTGGCAGCGTGGGAAGGGAAGGGGCCCTGGTGCAGCTGTGCGCCTGACTCCCCTTTTTCCGATCCTCCTCCTCCTCCTCCGAGGAGGCAGCGGGTGCTCAGCCCTGGGCCAGCAGCGGGGGAAGGGAAGGGGCCCTACCTTCCTTGCTAACTAAACCTGAGGGAGCTGTTTCAGTTCTAAACCAGCTTTGGTATCAGTCATGGACCAGATGAAGCTAAATAAACTGAGACTTAATCCAAACAAGACAGAGGTGCTTCTGGTGGCAGATCCAGGGATACAGCCTCTGTTGAGTGGGATTACACTCCCCCTGAAAACACAAGTTCACAAATTGGGGGTCCTCCTGGAGTCATCCCTGAGCCTGGATGTCCTGGTTTCAGTGGCAGCCATGAGTGCATTTTCACCATACTCCAACTACATCCATTTCTGGAGAGATTTGATCTGGCCACTGTGACTCACACGCTAGGTATTTCCTTAACTGGATTACTGTAACACCCTCAATGTGGGGCTGCTGATGGAAAGGGTCAGGGAACATCAATGGTTTTTTGCTTGATAGTTGGACTTGACATACTTTATTCTTGCAAGATTTGCAAGAGCAAAACAACTTTAATCCAGACACTGAACTGCTGCTCCCCAAAGAATACAGAATCCAAGCCCAGCATCTACAGCCTCTTTCTCTCTCCAGGCAGAGGTTGGAAAAGTTATTTTTTTCCCCGGACTACAATGCCAGAATCTCACAAATGGCATGAGGGTTGGCCATGTTGGCTGCAGGATCTGAGATATCATAGTTTTGAAAAGAGTACTTCAGAGTTCTGCTGTCTGGCAGAGCCAGTATTTCCTTGTAAAAAGCCTTTGAAGAACGGATCTGTGGACATGCCGGAGTTCCTGAACTGAAAGGCCAGGTTATTCCCCATATTGGTTGTTGTGGGTGTTTCGGGCTCTTTGGCTGTGTTCCGAAGGTTGTTCTCCCTAATGTTTCACCAGTCTCTGTGGCCGCCATCTTCAGAGGACAGCACTCTGTGCACTGATGTAGTTTGCTTTCGAGTGGAGTATTTATGGCTGTGAAATCAGCTTTTTCAGGAGATGGGTGATTAGTGTGTCTTGTTTATTCATTCATTTGATTTATACCCCGCCCATCTGGACTAAAAGGCCACTCTAGGCAGCTGGTTGTTGTAGGTGTATTGTTGTGATAAGGAGGAGAGATTATCACAATCTGTGATTGATGGATATCATTAGCTGGTTTTTTGTGTGTAGTGATCCCAAAAAAAACCCACAACAGCCATTAGATCCTGGCCGTGAAAGCCTTCATGAATACATTTCCCCATATTCCCTGCATGCTGGTCTTCTGTTGCTATGCAGGAAGACCAACATACCCACAGGATCAGTACCCACAGTTTCACTTATCCACTGCCTGAATATATTAACGCCTCCTAAATACACTTTTCTAAAATGTATTACCAGAACTAGTCACTAGAGGGAAGCAGGAGCTATACAGTATGGAGTGTTTTTATATCTGCGCTTTCTGGGATGGGGGGGCTTGAAACCAATTTTCCGGAGATACTACGGTCCAGCTGGTTTCTCTCTTATCACTGGCTCCCCTTTGGGCTTTTCCTTTTGGTTGAAAAAACACGACAAAGACATTGCAATGTGAAAAAAAGGACATGGATTCTCTCCTATCCCAATTTCAAAAATTTTCAAATCTTTATTGCATAATCAACAGATCATTGCAAATTTTAAAAGAATACACTGCGTTAGAGCAATAATACTGTCATGCCATAGGTATCAGTAAAAATACAACGAATTAAAATAATGCTAATATCAGTAGTTCAAAATTGGGCTGTAAATATGATAATCATTTATTTTTAAAAAATAGCTGAAAACTCCTGAAATTCAATGATAACAGTTAAATATAACATTTAAATTATGTTCCATGTGGCTATCTTCATACATCTAAATCTTTATGGCAATTTACAAAAATATTTTCCAAATACTTAGCTCTACTTGTAGTGGGTTTAAAAGCAAATACTGCAACCCTATTTATTTTATGTGAATTGAGTGTTTGTAATAACAAGATTAATTTCTCTGGGATGCTTCTATATTCCACTTTCTTAAAGATGGGCTGTAAATGGTTGTGAGTTTTTCAGGCTCTTTGGCCATGTTCTGAAGGTTGTTCTTCCTAACGTTTTGCCAGTCTCTGTGGCCAGCATCTTCAAAGGACAGCAACCTGTGCTCTGGTGTAGTTGGCTTTGGGAGTGTAGTATTTATAGCTGTGAGATAGGCTTTTGTCTTTTTCTGTAGATGGGTGATTAGTGTGTATTGTTGTGGACTCCTCCACAAAATGCCTACCTTCCTCTTCCTTCCCAGCCAAAAACACTTAGGGAGAATGAACACAGGCTCCAGTAAAATCAGGATTCAAACTACTAGGCCCTCCCACTAGGCCATGTGATGAGCCAGAGCAAAGAGAGAGAAAAAAACAGACTCCTCCACAAAATGCCAAATGTCATGGCGGCGATTTTCATATTCCCTGTTTTTCACCGTGTGAGTTCTCTGAGGTAAACTAAGTCTATGGTTTTGACTGAAGCACTTCCTCAATACATGAATTTATATGGTTTCTCCCCAGTGTGAGTTCTTTGATGTGAACTCAGGTGACTGCTACGACTGAAACTCTTTCCACATTCCATGCATTTATATGGTTTCTCCCCTGTGTGAGTTCTATGATGTAAACTAAGGCATTTGCTCTGACTGAAGCTCTTTCCACATTCCATGCATTTAAATGGTTTCTCCCCAGTGTGAGTAATTTGATGTGAACTCAGGTGATAGCTACGTCTGAAGCTCTTCCCACATTCCATGCATTTATATGGTTTTTCCCCTGTGTGAGTTCTTTGATGGCAACTGAGGCTACTACTATGAGTGAAGCTCTTCCCACATGCCATGCATTTATATTGTTTCTCCCCAGTGTGAATTCTATGATGCGAACTCAGGTGACTGCTATCATAGAAGCTCTTTCCACATTCCATGCATTTATATGGTTTCTCCCCAGTATGAATTCTTTGATGAGAACTCAGGTGACAGCTCTGACTGAAGCTCTTTCCACATTCGATGCATTTATATGGTTTCTCCCCTGTGTGAATTCTTTGATGGCTACTGAGGCTACTACTATGACTGAAGCTCTTTTGACATTCTGTGCATTTATATGGTTTCTCCGCAGTGTGAGTTCTTTGATGGCGACTGAGGTTACTACTCTGAATGAAGCTCTGTCCACATTCCATGCATTTATATGGTTTCTCCCCTGTGTGAATTCTTTTATGGCAACTGAGGCTGCTACTATGACTGAAGTTCTTTCCACATTCCAGGCATTTATATGGTTTTCCATCTGTGTAAATTTTTTGCTCGGAATATAGGTGATTTTTCTCAAAGAAGCTCTTTCCATACTGTGGGCATTTGTACGGTTTCTCACCTCTCAGATGGTTTTCCCTTGAAGTACAATCACTGTGCATAGTGATGCTCTTCACTTTTTCTATGTACAGTATGTGGATTTTGTCAATTGTATTGTCATATAAGATTCCTTTGAAAGTTTACATGCCCAAGGAATTTTTTCTCTTTCCTTTTCCTTGTCGATTTTTTTCACGTTCTCAGAAGTGAATCAACATCAATAGCAGGAGAAGCTGGATATTTCTTTATCTCTTTTTTCTTGACTTCCCTTCTTCCCTTTTTCTCCTTTTAAATATGTAGATTTTTTTGGTGCTTCAGAATTGGGGTTTTCTGTCAATGAAAGAATGGCTGGCTCCATAGAATTCCTGTTGTCCTCTTCATCCCCTGATGGAGAGAAAAAAAAGAGATGAAAGAGCAATGCAATGTAAAGGAAATACTGTTTGTTTGGATAGGTTTTAATCCCCAAGTTCAGATGAAGTGCCTCCTCTTCATCTTCTGATGGAGAGAAAAAAAAAGAGATGAAAGAGGAATGCAATGTAAAAGAAATACTGTGTTTGTTTGGACGGGTTTTAATCCCCAAGTTCAGATGAAGTGCATCCAAGGATATTCAAGGAACTGGCTGAAGAAATTTCAGAACCACTGTCTAATATTTTCTTGTCATCATGGGAGGTGGGTGAAGAGACTGACAGGTGGAGGAGAGCTGACCCTGTCCCTATCTTAAAAAAGGGGAACCAAGAAACTGCAAACCATTCAGCCTGACATCCCTCTCGGGGAAGGTTTTTGAGCAGATTACAGAATAGACACTCTGCAAGATTCAAAACAGTGTAGTAAGAACCAAAAGACAACATAGAAAGACTGAAGGAAGTCGGCATGTTTGACTTTGAGAAAAGGAGCCTGAGGGCAGAGATGTGATTTTTTTTTTCCTTTTGTTTTTCAACAGGGTGGACAATTGATAGTTTGTATCAGTCTGATCTCTGTGTGGTTCGTTCTTTGTTTTCTTTTGTTCAGTTCTAATTATTTTTTACCTCACTTGATCCTGATTTCAACCGGTCTTATGTAACTGGAGAACTCCACTTCATCCTCATATGGCTTCCAACAGAAAACAAACTGAGCTAGGTCCCGCCCATCTTGCTAAGGACAACATGCACCTAAGCCAGCATTTCAATAAGAGAGAGAAATGACTGTCAGAGTGATGAAATCTCTGGGGGTGGGTGTTCTAATAATAATCATGGAATCATAGAATTAGTAGAGTTGGAAGGGGTCTACTAGGCTATCCAGTCCAACCTCCTGCTCAAGGCAGGAATACCATCCAAGCAGATCTGCCAGGTGATGATCTCAGTTTCTCTTGAATGCCTCCAGTGTTGGAGCACTCGCCAATTCCTGAGGTCATGGGTTCTCGACATACTATTCTAACAGGATATTCAACCCAAATCTGGCTTCCTTTAGTTTGACTGAAGTGGAGAGGGGGGATTTGCTACTTGGGTATTATTTTACCCAGGCTTTGGGCTCTGGAGAGGACACTCCAGCTCATCCATACAGAGCACATTACCATAGTCTCTCGAGATTGAAGGATGGCTAATTGTTGCATGTCCTGCACTTTGGGATGTTCAATAACAGATCTTGCCTCTCCGCTATATGACACCGTTTCAAACATTAGAAAAGTGCTATCTTATTACCCCTCAGTCTCATTTTCTTGAGGCTAAACATGCCCAATTCTTTTAGTCTTTCTTCATAAGGCTTGGTTTCCAGAAGTCTGATCATCCCTGTTGCCCTCCTCTGAATTTGTTCCAATTTGTCAACATCCACCTTGACGTGCAGTGTCCAGAACTGGACACAATACCAAGGTAAGGCCTAACCAGTGCTGAATAGAGGGGGACCAGCAGCTTGTGGGTTTTTGAAAACTCTACTGTTAATGTGGCTTGAAATAGCATTTGCCTTTTTTGTAGCCCCATCTCACTGTTGGCTCATATTTAGCTTGTGATCTATGATAAATCCCAGATCTTTTGTGGCCGCAGTTTTGATGAGCCAGGTATCCCCCATCTTGTACCTGTGCCATTGGAGGTGCAGGACTTTGCACTTATCCCTATTGAATTTCATTCTGTTGCTTTCAGCCCATTCTTCCAGGACTCATTCATCATCACCCTCTGAGTACAATTCTGTAGCCAATGGTGTATCCACCTGACACTTGGACTATCCAGCCCACACCTAGTTAGCTTGCTAATCAGGAGATCATGGGCCACTTTGTCAAAAGCTTTGCTGAAGTCAATATATACTACATCTATAGCATTCCCTCTATCAGGAAGGTGACCTGATCAAAAAACAAGACCAAATTAGTTTGGCAGGAATTGTCCTTGACAAATCCCTGTTGGCTTCTAGTTCTTACTGCAGTTTTCTAATTGCTTCCACAATGATGGCTTTATGATCTGTTTCAAAATTTTGCCTGGGATTGATGTCAGGCTGACTGGCCTGCAGTTCCCAGGTTCCTCTTTTTTGACCTTTTTGACGGTGGGACAACATTGGCCCTCCTCCAACCCTCCAGAACCTCCCCCGTTTCCCATAAGAGTTCTTCAGCCAATTCCTTCAGTACTCTCGGAAACAGTTCATCTGGCCCTGGAGATTTGAACCTTTTCAAGGTGGTAAGGTATTCCTTGACTATTGGTTTATCAATCTCCAGATGCAATCCTGTCTCTCCCACTTGCACTTCCAATTTGTTTGGAAGTTCATAGTCTGTCTTATGGGAA